ATGTTGCCGACTCATCGTCGTCTATTGAATCATCTATTCACCCTGCCTCCTTGAGCACACCATTCCATTGCTTCTCCTGTACGTAACATAGCGCTACAAGCAAGCCAATCAGCTCGTTACTTCCCTTTTACTCCAGAGTGCCCTGGCACAAAAATTAAACTTATTCCTGTCATTTCCTCTGCGACTCCAACCATTTTTTCCAATACTGTCTCGATCTTTTTAAGCATGCTCAAAGAATCACTTAGAATACACGAATGTGAAACAATTGTGTGTCTCTAGTCCACATCATTGCTTTTGTTACCGCCATCACTCCAAACTATTTGTAGTAAGACAAAAGCACCGTTTTTTTTTCAGTCCTCAATTGAAGCAGATCTGTGAAAGCTTGAGCTCTGTTTGTGTCGAACGACGGTTCCGTCGGTGTGAATAACTGCACCTCCATCAGCAGAATTTTCAAGAATGAAGGCTTGAGTTTCTGCCTCAATCACCAACGGGCTTTGTTATCTGCATTATCTGCTTAGTTTTGTGCAGAAAGAAAAAGATGTACATCACTCTGCTCGCACTAATTTCTCACTCGGTTCTATATCCTCAATTGAACAGATCTGTTGAATAATTTCTCTTCTTCTTTCGTTCGCTTGAAATAGATTATCTCATCATCATGTAGCTGGTCCTTTGCAGAACATCGCTCTCATCAGTCTGTCTGAAAGAAACTTGGTCTCTCGCCAGTTCTGCCTCTCCTTCCTGGTGCAATGCCTTCTGCTATAATTTTTTCCAATCCGTCGTGGTGCTTGATATGACCAAAATATTTCAGCTTTCAAGAAAGGATGCTGTTTATTAGCCAATCTTCCTTGATGTTCAGATCTTTTAAGATGTCAGTATTTCTCAAATTTTTCAAGATATTCTGAGAATCTTTCTATAGCATTTCAGCTCAAAAGCCCCTATTCTCTTTCTGAGAGATAGTCCACAACTCACATCCGTATGTAGCCACAGGGAAGATGCATGCTCTCAAATTTATAATTTTTATCTCCTTGCTGGTGCTTAACCATAGACTTTTAAGGCTGTTCAATCTTTGCATTGCTATGGCCATCCTCCTTTTAATTTCTGTTGAACAGTCTCCAATTTCATCATTTATTGTTATTTTTGGGTGACAGTCAGTTTTATCCGTGGACATTATTTTCGTTTTCTTTAAATTCAAGAACAGATTTTGATCTTCACTGTGCTTTTGGACAGACAATATTAAATTTTTTATTCCCTTTACGCTGTTCGAAAGGAGGACTGTGTCATCTGCATAGCGAAGTTCCGGAATAGGGTTGACACCAATTTTGAGCGGATCATAGATTTTGGGTTTTTAATCTATGTTAAATCTTAAGATAGGAGGGTACAACTGATAGATCAGTGTATTATTGCACAGCCTAATCACTGTGTTGGTATTTTAACTCTTAATCCATAGTTGGCGCCTCCTAACAGGCAAATCCAGAGTAATGACATGCAAGCCGGTTGTCCCTTATCAGATACAAGGTGTAAAACATGGACATTCCCTGTCTAAAGAGTAAAAACAATAATAGGCTCTTTCCACACCTTCAGACGTACTGGGCCTATATAGCTAGACCTATATTTTATAGACCAATCAGCACTTGATGAATGATGTGGTCAACACCAAGCTGGCCGCCTTTACTTTCCAAGACCTTACCTGTTACCAGTTTAAGGCTGATTTCCTCTTTATCCAAAAAGGCTTCCACAAATTTAGAATGGAATCAATACAGCACTGGTGCTGGCTGACACGACTTCTCACCACCACTTAAGGTTAAGTGCATCTCCCACTCATAGCAGGCTGCATCTCTTTCGGCCCCAAAAACGTCTTACTTTAAACTGTTCTTCTTACAAACGTTCACCGGCTGTAAACTCAATGGAAAGTTCTGGTTGTTCATATACTTCTTAACTTGGGTCTTGTTTCAGAACTTGAGTTTTGCGTGCACATCTGTTTTACATGTCCGGTATATTTGTATTAGATGGCTGGTTCACGACCTACTAGTGAAAGCGTTGGTTGGCTCCTTGCCTCTCAAGTAGATACTCTCAGAGTTCAAAGGAACCGCCCCTAACTTGTCGTCATTTAGGTAGGGTGACCATACGTCCGGTTTTTACTGAAACAGTCCCATAGTTTAGGTGTGCCCCAGCTGTCCTGTTGGCACCCCCCCCCCAAAAAAAAAAAACCTCGACAATGGTCCATTGTTTACAAATGTAAGTACAAGTTCAAGAATACACACACATACTTTAATCTGGCAATATTATTAGATTTTATAGTTTTAAATACTTTTAATGCCTGAAATGCTTAGCCATAAATTTTCTTGTAGAAACTGCTTATGAAACCAAAACTCCTTGGCTTTTACTTTTATAGTTTAAATTTTATTGTTATTTACAACTGAAAAAATAAATGTGAACCGACTTTTACAAGTGCAACTACAGTTACAAAATTGCTTGCACTTCCATTGACGTCTGAAATATATTGATGGGAATTTTCTTGTAGCATGCCACCCCCCTTCCCCCGGTATAATTAAAGTCAAAGATGTTACATTACACAAAGTACATAAATTTAAGAATCTACGCACATGGATAACATCAGACGGAAGATGCAGTATACAGAACAGAATAGGACCGGCTAAAACTGCATTTGATAAAATGAAGAACATTTTATGCAAATAAATGTTATTGGAGGTTAGGAAAATAATTCACGCATCCTATAAAGCGTCAGTTTTAACATACGGCTATCAATCTTGAACAAATAATTAACAAGCCAAGCAATTTCCTGAGGCCTAAGAGATATGGTTTTACCGAGGAATCCTTAGAATTTCTTGGACCATGTTTTGAAAAAGGCGAGCTCGACGACGACTTATCACCAAATCAGAAGGAGATGGTCATCATTTTGGGACCATTGGAAGGCTAGAAAAAAATTTGGCCCGTTACCAATTGCCTTGTCCTATGGACTTTTATGCCCAGGGTGTCACTGATATCTCGTGCATACTGTCGTGCTAGCGGACTCTTGCATCTTCTGCTGTATGGTGCAGAAACCTGCAAAACAGGATATCTGGAAATGTTGATACACAGAGTAAATAGATTGCATAGAGAAGTTCTGGAGAGGCTGCAAATGAAAAAGAGTTACCAATATAACTTGAAAGAAAAAACTAAAATGTTTTGGTTAAGACTTTTAAAAATCATACTGGAAGGAAGTTAAAGGCAAGAGGTAGACAATGATACAAGTGTGAGGACAGCATCAAGAGACGACGAACCAGAGGGAGGACATCAGAAATAGATGAACAGCAGTATGAAAGTGGGCTAAGACAAGAGCGTGATTTAGATCCATTGCAGCCAACCTTCATAGTGGAGACAGCACCCGATTTATTGAGATTGAAAAAAGAGACTAACAGATCCCAACCATGCTGGCTGTAGAGCTAGGAGTGTCCCACTACACAATGTGACAATTCAAAATTTAATAAATGTATGTATGAGGGTTTGGCTTAAGGTTATATTTTTCTTAAAAGACTGTTCTCGTGGATGGTCTTCAGACACTGGTACGAGAGTCGCATATGGAAGAGACTGGGCATCTATACTTAGTAGACAATTGCAGTCTTCAAGTGGAAGAGGCTGTCTGTAAGCAGCGTTAGTTTATCTGTAAGGTCAATCAAGATTTTCTAGACAAATATAAAGGTATTTAGTGACCTTTTTGGGATAGGTTAGTTTACAGTACATTGCAGAACCAACCCCAAATTTTCGTCCAGTAGTTTGCCATTTCTTTCTGGACGGTGGCTTTCTTGATACCACTGTTGAAACTAACACAAGGCGCATGGGCCGCAGCTGGGATCGTTTTGGGATAGGCTAAACAATTATTGCTTGCTGCATCATCATAATCTTTTCTAGATCTGTTGTGCCTTTCAGCATCTGCTTCAGGTCTCAGGATCACCATGTGGGATGGTCAAATTCTCTCTTAAACTGAGAAAGGCCTAGCAAACCAGCAGTAAATTAAAATTTTCTTTGAAGAAACAATTAGGAGTCTGCTTGTTATATGATGGAATCAATTATTTGTTGGGTGACCATATCGTCTTGTTTTCGCCAGGACAGTTTTGTTTTTGTTTAGGTAGGCCCAGACCACCAAATTGTTACTTGGTGGTGGTGGTTACGATGTGAAGGTCGGAGCCTACTTAAAAAACCATACTGTTCTGGCGAAAAGGGCACAATATGGTCATTCTAATTATCTGCAAATCCTGCTTGGAAAACTAGTTAACAAGCCACTTCACTAAGCGAAAATTCCCCAAGGCCCCAGTGATATGGCTTTATAAAACGATGCTTACAATTTCCTTTGACAGCCAACACCAGTAATCCAGATGTTTTGAAAGAGGCTAAGACCTGAAGATAACGATGTATCACAAACATCAGAAAGAGACGGGCCATCCTGTTTGGAAACATTATGAGGAACAAAATTCCAACATGTGACAAGTGGAAAGTTATGAAATAGATGACCTTACACAGAGGGACCACTGCGTTTCACATCATCATGACCCAAAGAATTAGGTGCCACATATAACATTCTGTTTGCTTGTTTTTGTGATGTGCTTAAATATTATAATTCATTTATGTAGCCATGACAGCTACAGCTGTTTATTGCAAAGGTGTTTGTTATAAAAAATATCCACCATATATTTATCAAATGCTTTTTTAACCGAATATTTGCTTGAATGTTTGCCACAAATTGTGTCAATTGTTCTTTCAATATCAACGTTTGTGGACAATGTCAAAACTGTACTGATTGATACTGATGCATATAGGCAACAACAGACTTCTTTTACTTGTAAGAATGTAAAACAAAGCAGATAAACTGTACATACACAAAACATAAAATGAAACACATATACAAACAACCACTCTAATATTTAAAAAACAAATTTGAAGACAACATATCTTTGATAAAACAATCACTGATTATTATTCAATAGCAGACAGCATCCTGTTGCTTATCTAGATCTAGATGACACAGCTGCCTTCCAAGCATAAAGTGGCCCAAGGTTTGGCTTGTACTGAGCCCCGACACCATCAGGAACCAGCAGCCCTTCGGCTCGCATGCGTTCATAGTCCTGTTTTGGCCACTTGGTAAAGCCCCATTTTTTGGAGACCACAATCTAAAACATAAAACACAAATTTATAATACTGGTTTACACTCATACAAAAGATGCCAAACGGCACATATCTCCCCTATACCCCCACCCCATCTTTTCCCATAAAACAGATCCATTGATGATGATAATGACAGGATCAATGTACTTAAAACCCCTGTAGCAATAGAAATGAACATTCACAATAAGAAAATGAAACGAGATCTCCCACCAATTTTCATAGCACATGGCCAAGATAAACTTCATTAGCAAAGTTACATTATTTCATGTCAACTCACATGTGCCTTAAAATAGATTAACCAAAAAAATAAAATAAAACAAACGTGTGAACAGACTAAAATCAAAAGACAACATATTTACAAAGCAGATTTTAAATCCTTCTGGCTTATATAGATCTGCAAGAACTTCTGACATTTTCCATTAGAAGAATTGTTGACATATTTATTACAATTTGAACAAAGAAGACACAAACAATAGACTGCACAATTTATTGCCTGGCATATTTCGCTGTATCTCGTCAGGTGCATACTACAGTAACAATTAATTATTTATTACAGCTCTTGTTTCTGTTGTCTGGATGACTTCTTAATTGCACAGATATTGACACACGTGAAAGAGCTAAAAACTAATTTTAGACCTAATAATGGCTAGGCCCATAATGCATGCTTATGAAACAAGTTAATTTTTCTATTAACACTTTTAGTATCAAGCAACTGGATACACGTTTATTAGTATATCCATGTATAGTATACATTTCTTTGGTATGTTTATTAGTATGTCTATGAACGGTATACATTTCTTTGGTATGCTTATCAGTACGTCTATCTATAGTATACAATTATTTGGTACTTCAAGTTGGTTTTCTGAAAGTTAATTGACAGGTTATCCTCAGTGCACATAAGACAAATCCATAAGCACTCGGATACCATCTTCAGTATATCCCTCAGCGTGTGGCGATTGATAACACCAGCTGTTCTCTGTTGGTTTTACTATTCTTCCTTGGCTACCCTATACTGTTCATGTCCAAAGGCTCCCTTCTGTGTTGGTTTATTAGTCCTCCTTGGCTACCCTATACTGTTCATGTCCGACGACCCCCTTCTTTTTGATGTGAAGTTCTTGTAGTCTTCTGAATGTTGCCAGCTCACCACTTTTCCCTAAATCCCCTTCTTGTCCTGCCTCCTTGGGAACATTGAGAATGTCAGCCCAGTCTATTGCTATTCCTGTACCTACTGGGGCCCTGCTAGCAAGCCAATCCACTCATGTATTCTCTCTTACCCCAGAGTGCCCTAGCACACATACAAAACTGATTCATGTCAGTTCAAGCTGGTACTCATTCTGTCCCACAGTTGTAATATTTGAACCCCTTTAGACTCTTAAAGAGTGTTGCTGTGAAGCGTACATATACTAGAAAGTATGGAAGTAACAATTATCAGGGACTGAAGAAGTTAACGTCCCCGGTTAAGTATCACCCTAACGTGAAGAAAGCCAAAATTATAAATGAAGCATTTACAAAAAAGATATATCGTGAAAGCTAAAGCCTGTTTGCATGGAGCATGCTAAAGCATTAAAAACAATGAGTTAAATGAAAGCAAGAGAGAATTAACAGCTAGATTATGTACACACACACACAAAATAATTACCTTCTGTCTGCCTGGGTACTTGAACTTGGCACGACACAGAGCTTCAATCACCTGCGCTTCATGTTGCTCCTTGGCACGAACAGACATGATTGGTTGTCCAATGTGAACACGTGCCACAGTACCTTGGGGCTTGCCAAAAGCACCTCTCATTCCAGTTTGCAGTCTTGATAACAGATAAGGAAAGAAATTAGATAAATGTACAAGAGAAACGCACACATGGAAAATATCTAGGCAAGATAAGATTATCCTTAGATATAAAATTCTTCACATCTGAACTGTAATACTTAAGGGGTTCTAGCTTTCACTGTACTCTAGGAATTTATCACACTCTTGGTTTTCAAAAAATGTATTTTGTTTAATAATTTCTGAAATTACGCCTATTCAAGTTCTGGTAAAAGACCAAAGTCAGAGGTGGCTGAATAACCATAACTTTCCACTGAACTTTACAAAGGTGAGCCCTATGAACAAAGAAGAAGATGGCTGTTTTATCCTGTTAAGACCAGCTCAAATGCAAAATGCACTGCAACAAAGCATCCTTTGTTTTCTATCAATATGGATTCTTCAACTCTCTCACAACTAACTGAGCAAAATCCTGAGAACAGAAAACATCCTCAGCGCATGCCGAGCATTAAAAGGAATTACAGACAATGCAACAGACAAAACAAAAGAACTACTCACCTATCAGCACCTGCACAGGACAACATCTTATTGATGCGGCACACGTGGAAAGGGTGCACGCGGACCCGCAAGTGGAAAGCATCTTTTCCGCAGTTCTTCACAAGGTACTTGTTGGCACAGATACGACCAGCCTCAAGAGCTTCAGATGACAGCTGTTCATATTCATCAGAGATCATGTGAACGCAGAGCGGGAACTCATCCACATGGGCTTTCTTGCGCCCCAAATCAAAAATCCGGATCTTTGGATCTTAAGGAAGAAAAAAGTATATAACATTCAGTTTACTGACTCCACACATTATATTATTCTTAGCGTTCACTGGCTGTAAACTCTTGTGGAAAGTTATGGTTGTTCATCCATTTCCGGACTTTAGTCTTGTTCCAGAACTCGAGTTTCACGTGCATATCTGTTTTACAGTTTTTGCTTACTTGTGTGCAGACTTTCGGTTTCTTCCTTTCAGCTAGACGCGCCTCATTCAGAGGCAATATCGCTAATTAGTCACCTCTTACAACATGCTTGTTAAGGAGGCAGTGAGCACACAGGGGCGATACACATACACAATGAATTTCCACTGCCTTTGATGTTCAAGTGTCACACATTGCAATTTCAAATTAAAAAAAAAAATTAATACTAACTCTTAACTTCTTGTAATTTACCCTACGAGGTGCAGAGGTGCACCACTGCCTGCGGCTGAGTACCAGGGCTTACACTGGCCAAGATCTATCTTTACCTTATGTGATCATCCTAAATAATTGGCCCCCTATAGGGAAATCTGGTCAATGCAGAATAGATCGTTTTTATGTCAAACTGAAGTGCATCTGCCTGACAAGTGAGGAACCAACTGTCTGCACATAACAGGCCAGATCTGGAAAAACGTATGCCTAACACTAAAACCCTGAAATAAGATCAAAGCTCAGACTTAACTGAGATGACCTTATAGAATTAAACTTCCTACAGAAATTCAGAGCTGGCGAATGCAGAAGTCACAGAGACTGACACAAAAGTGATGCAACATGAGATTGAGTTGCTCCTGTGCGGCTTTATAAATTTTTTTTTGCTAGTGTGAAGTATGCGCAATTGAAAAAAATAATGTAAAGCATAGTTTACATAAATATACGCTCACCTGGCACACCACGACAGAATCGTGACTTTGGGTATGGTTTATTTTTGCAGTAACGATAACTGTCAAAAGAACAAATGTTCCATAATTACAAAATGAAGAGCTCAAAAAAAAAAAAAGCTACAACTGTTAGTGCAATTGCTTACTAACACAGAGACCCTATGGGCTTAAGGTAGCCTTAGCATGCTAAAAAAATTAGCCCAGTGAAGAAATAAAAAGGTCATCAGATATTTCAATAAGAAAAGTGGCTATCCTCAGAATAACGGCCACTTATTATGGCGGCCAAAAACACACCCTGATAGGGCCTCATTAGATCGCGTGTTGTAAACATTCAAAAACTTGAACTCGAAAATAATAAATAAAAAAAAACAGAAAAGGACGAAATCGACTTCTTCTTCACTTCCTCTTTTACCACTGTGGGTTTCGAGGGAGATATAAGGTTCTGTTTCTAGCTCTTCTGGCTGCCTCGACCATAGGCACATCGTTCTGTTGTAGAGTTTCTCTGATGTTATCCTTCCATCTTGTTCTTGGTCTACCTCGTGCTCTACGTCCTTCTTCTCTTTCCATGTATGCTTTGAATGGTATGGTGTCACATAGCATTCTCTCTAAGTGGGCAAGCCATTTCACTTGCTGTCTTCGTATGTAATCCAGAATTGGTTCTGTGCCGAATTTTTCTCTTATGATCTCATTCCTGATCTTATCTCTTATGGTCACTCCTACAGCCCTTCTCAGACATCTCATTTCCGTGGTTACTAATTTTCTTTTATGGTTTGTTTTGAGTGACCATGTCTGGCACTGGTAGCACATAGTTGGAATAAATATACTTTGAATAAGATGTCTCTTTGTGCTGATTGTCTTATGCTGTAAGAGGGGGGCTAGCTGTCCCAATACTTGGTTTGCTTTACTGCATCTAATGTTAATTTCTTTATCCAATTTTCCATCTTCGGTAAATGTAGTTCCCAGATATTTAAACTCAGATGCCTGAAATCGACTACTTAGTGATAATTGAGGCCTTTATATCTGAAAATAGTGGCACAGAAGTTGCAAATAGTGCCCGAAAATCTGCTCTTTGTGGCTGTGGGGCCATCGAAACTCTGCTACATATGATCGGTGCTGCATTGGTAACACAGTTTTTACCACTGAGAGTATCGCCCCCGGCGTGGAGGATACTCTCGGCAGTGAGTTTAGTCAGAAGAACACTATTGCTAACTTGCGTCGGAGCACGTGGTCTCCCTGCCATGTCGCTATTTTCGTGTGTATTGATGCGTTTCTAAAAACTGTCAATGGAGAGTAATCCTAGTTTTGCCGCGATGTGTTCGCTAGAGGAAGTCTACAATTTACATGTGATTGAGGCTCTGTCAGGGTGTGTTTTTGGCTGCCATAATATGTGGCCGTTATTCGGAGGATAGCCAGAAAAGGATTTTGTTTTGTCAAATTACTCTGTAAACTAGGACAAAGGACAAAAGTCTAAGTCAAAACTAAAAAATATTACAGCAGTTCATCATACATATGCATGGCTTTTCAACTCGCTGGGCGAATCCGGTTTGCAGAGGCCTAGCAAGTTGACCCCGGATCACTGCCAGCTGTAATGTGTTAATCTGTTATTAGCGACCGTTGACCAATTTCGAGACATTACAGACGATAAAAGCCGATTAGCAATACTGTGTTCTTCCGATTGGAGGATTTAGCAGCGGTAGATGTCAGACTTGTCGGCATGCGCCAAACGCGATTAAACTCATCGCCGAGCGTATCCCCCGCGCTGCGCGTAGCTAAACTAGGTGCCTGGGACTCATGAGTACAGTAATTGGAGGAAGTTGCAGGAGATGCGGTAGCTGCCGCTCGTGAGTCCCAGCCATCTAGTTTAGCCCCCATCCGCGCCAGAAATAGGCCAATTTAGCTCTCTTTCGAACGCCATCATATTAAAGCCGCCATTTTGGGGAACGATTCAAAGGAGAGCCAAAATATCCATCCCACTTAGACTTAGAGGTAAAAAGAATTGGGCTCTCCTCCACATTATCATCATTATGGCGGCAACAAATATCCTTACGAGGCTCAGCCCTATTCAAAATATGCTAACTTCCCGCGACGAACGAATCGCGGCAAAACTAGGATCGGCTCCGTATAACGAAATAAATGCTCTAACAGGGTCTCGGCGATATGTTAATTGCGGACCTGTTTCGGTGACTATGCCTCACCACCGACCGTATCCCCGGTGCGGATGGGGGCTAAACTAGATGGCTGGGACTCACAAGCAGCAGCTACCGCATCTCCTGCAACTTCCTCCAGTTAATTTGCTCGTGAGTCCCAGGCACCTAGTTTAGCCGCGCCGCGCGCAGCGGCACGGTGGATAATGTCGACGGTAAGTGTAACTGCGTTTTGCGCATGCCGAAAAGTTTGACTACAACAACAACGCTAATCTGCGGCGGCGCACATGGTCTCCCCGCCATGTGGCTGTTATCGTCAGTAATGTTGTGTGTCTCGGAATTTTCAATGGTCGCTAGTATCGTCTGCTAGTATCATCTGCAGAAACGCTTGAAATTGTTGTCAATGGTCGGTATTTATCGTCTGCTACTACCATGTGCAAATGTTGATATTGATCGTCAAGTTATCCTAGTTTTGCCGCGATTTGTTCCTTGGCAGAAAGTCTGTATTTTAGATATATGCGAACACCGTCGTTCGGATATTTTTGGATATTTTATGGCCAGAAAGTGGCATGCCGCCATTTTGGGGAATGATTCAAAGGAGCGCCGATATTTTAATAGATTATAATAGTAAAGCCCCATTAACTGTTAATGTTAACTGGTTTGTCTTAAACTTAAAAAAAAAATCGTGAAAGGTTCAGGAAAATCTAAAATCTATTAACTACGTCGGTAAATTTACAAAGTAGCCAGATGCAAAAGTACTTTAAAAAAAAATCTATTCAGTAAGATTATTGGCTCTACTGTCAAATTTGGCCGGTAAGCTGGACTGCTTCGGCCGGCTTAGCGGGGCTTAGTGGGAGTTATGTCTCTTCGCGTCCCTTTGCCAAACTCAAAACAAGTCGCGGAAAAAGTCACGAATCAAATGACATACTTACCTATCATTATCCGGGTGCGTGTAGGGCTGCGTAGGGTTGCGTCTAGGGTGTCTATCATCATCATACGGTTGCGTGTAGGGATGCGTAGGGTGTCTATCATCATCATCATACGGTTGCGTAGGGTTTGGGTTAGCGGTAGGGTTAGAGGTGTGGGTTAGGGGTCGGGTTAGGGTTAGGGGGAGGGTTAGGGGGTAGGGTTAGGGGTAGGGTAGGGTTAGATGTGAAAATAGTCACGCAGGAGGTCAAAATACTGGCCGACAATCTGATGCTTGTGGGAGTGACGTCACTGGAAGTGTTCCAAATATGAGGGCAATACGTGCGGCGGCTGGTGCCCCAATCGGTGGCGAATTGTCTGTGTCAGTAGCATCCACCGTCCGTCGACTGTTTGCGCGTGCATGCAACTGTGCGCGATTGTAGGGAACTACGGCGTCACAATTGTCACATCTAACGCTACACCTAACCCTAAACCCTAACCCTAAACGCTAACCCCTAACCCTACCCCTCATCTTACGCAAACAAGCAACCTACACGCAATAAGCAGCCCTGCACGCAACCGTAGGATGATGATAGACACCCTACACAACCCTACACGCACCCGGATAATGATAGGTAAGTATGCCGTTTGATTCGTGACTTTTTCCGCGACTTGTTTTGAGTTGATTTGAGTTTGGCTAAGGGACATAACTCCCACTAAGCCCCGCTAAGCCGGCCGAAGCAGTCCAGCTTACCGGCCAAATTTGACAGTAGAGCCAGATTATTTTCTATTCAGTTTACTTTAAAATTAGAGTCATATATATACTCGGCCTCGAAGGGGGGAAATTAACCGCAATAAATCGTAAAACTGAAGTTCAACATTAATATGACAGCTGACGTAAAAGTAAGTTTGTATTAGTATTGATACTGACATTGTCTAACAACACTTACCATCTCGCTGGACGGCGACCCATTATAACCTGAAAAATAAATTTTAATAAAAATAAAATCAGTTGTTTTCAAATTATTTTACAAATCGCTGAATCACAATGATATGTAACTGTCCGACACACACACAAAAAAGCAGAAAATTTACTTACGTAGAGTCTACATTACAGTGTAATGATTACACTGTAAGAGGAAAACATATTCCAGGCAATTCCTGGTCCAAGGAAGTCATGTGACCAGCAGGCGACCAGAGTTGTCTGTGGCTGTTTAGGGTGGTGGAACCTCATCAATACAGACACCGAGATTCCTTGATAATGGACCGATAGTAGACCCGTTAGTTAGCATCATGTAACCAGTGGATTAACCCGGTCTACAATGCATCCGATAGATGTCTAGGGGAAGATCAGACCATTCGCGATGAGTGGTAAGAATTTAGCTCTGGTTTGCTATGTTTATGGATGCGAATTAGGTGAATATCGTCGAGTCTCAGAGTCCTGTGGTGGTTTCCAGGCAAGACACTTACTACTTGTCTGTCACTGCCTTCACGTCTCTCTGTACGCTGTGGTACTCAGGGCTTAATAAACAAGATTTATAAAACAAAATTATGAACAAACTGTCCCCAACACAACCTATACAGGGTACTAATTTAGGTCATTGTCTCAAGAAAATGTTTGCTTTGTGATTTTTTTTTAGATCTTCCTTAATTTGGTGATTTTTAAAAGTTGACCTAAGCTAAGCTCCCATGTTGGTCCACTCCAAAAGAAGTGCCAGCGAATATTCTAGGAATAAGGGTGCTGAATGGCAGTCGGTTTTTTTTTGGGGGGGGGGGGGGGGGAGGGGGGGGGGGGGGGGGGGGGGGGGGGCAGTATGCAAAGGTACATCAGTACTGGTGCACCTTTTTTAATGCCTCTTTTATGCAGCGCTACTGTAATAATATAATTTTTGTGGTGAGTATTGGTACCTTTAAATTTTAAACAAATGAAAAACAAAAATTCATTTTATGATGAGTATCTACACCTTTTTTATATTGAAAAAAAAAAAAAAAACCCCACCTCTGTTGACGGTCAGTAATACAAGGCAAGCACCTTCTATATAGTATATATGGAGCAGGTCTGTTTTTTTTTTTTACCTCCACATTTGTGGAATAACAGTACAATATATTTTTTTTAGACAGGACATGATGGTACACTGATAGAATATAGTACTCATATGCTATTAGAATTAGGCAATGAGTTTGTAAATAAGCATTAGCATAATTAGCTTTGACATGCTCACAGTCGTTTGAACCTATCAGTGTATAGTTAAAAACAATGTAGTAGAATAATAAAAAAATACCCCTTCTATTGCCCTCATTTTTACTGATCCTCCTCCAAACACGCAACAGAATCAGTAGAGAAGCAAGATTATTATGGCCTGGAGAGAATGAGGCACCTGGGTATAGCCAGAGGGTCTGGCCGGCTTACTACACTCAGAGGAAGGGCAAGACGGACATATAAACAGATTGTGATTGGTACTATCAGTATTGGAACTGAACTGGCTGCTGAAGATGAGGATGGAGCAGACATGGAAATGCCCAGAGTGCTGTGATATCAATTCTGGACTCAACTCAACTCAACTTATTGTTTGGTGATTCTTTGCTCGTTTCTTTTCAGGAAGTGTCCAGTATGACACCTATTTTTTTGTGTGTCTTGTAACTGTTGTTACTAGTGGTTAGTGTTTGCCCAGATATTCCTCTTATTTCTTGACCTGTCTTGAATTCATCCCATTTAATGTTCAAAATTTTCCTCAAGCACGTTCATCACAATCGACATGTGCAACTCACACCACTTGTCTCATTTGTTTACTGCAGTGGTATCATTTTCTCCAAGTTTCTATAGAAAAAAAAAACTTTTACAGGGTGGGGTAGCTAGCACCATGACCAACCCTCCACCTTTCCCTCTGGGCTAGGGACTGGTAATATTGGAGGTTCTTCACCACTGCCTGATAGTTTATCGTGCAAGTCTCTCCTGTCGGCCAGATTACTGATCTCCTTTGCACATCAGCATTAGTTAATTAACCATTTAGTGAACATTTGGAAATGTCCATGTATTGCAAACATCTGATGCCTGAAGGACAATTATTAAGTTCACGAATAACCTATATATTGTGAGCATAATAACAACTTAGAAGTGACAATATTTTTGCCATGTTGCACAAGTGAATCCATAAAGAGCAGTTTAAGGTGAAAGTGTCAATTTATTTGCACTGGGTATGATTCCATTTGGTTTAGCTTTTCTCCACAAAGCAGCTGACCATCTGCTAGAAGTTCCACACAGGGCCCAAATTGGCTTCAAAGATAAACCCTAGTTTTTACAAAACAGATTGCATTTGTAAAGTGAACAAAGTCTGAAAGTAAATGTACGTGACCTTCATAGTGTGAGACAGATGTCTTGATCTATTCTACATGGAAACCATCTTAAAGAGAAACAAGGATAACATTTACTGGAAAAATCAGTTGGTTAAAACCATGAGTACATTGATTATGAAAATGGAGAGCAAAACAGCGGATCTTACAGAGGGAGGAGAAAGGGGCATGAACACTGAAGCCTTAGTAAGTCATTTGCTATGTAACTTCAGCTATTCATGTTTAAAGCTTCTATTATTTAATTGGCTTTTCTGTTTAAGAAAATTTATTTGATAATTTTTGGCACATAAAGAATTTTCCCAATGATTATCTTTTTAGGAACTGACATTCATCAAAATGAATGCCAGGCAATTTTGACAAGGCTACTTGATGCTGTGAAGCAAGTATGTGAATTATACATTTTGTTTTTGTAATTGAATTTAACATTTGTTAAACAAAGCAAGTTGTGTTATCATAATCAACATCACTGCACATTGGGCATTCCCATGTGGGTTCAGTCCTCTGATTCAGTATCTACTCAAAAGTAACCTCTACTGATTGTTCCCATGAGAAGTTGGTTATTGTGTCTCCTTTCTTTGCCTTAAAGGGGGCATAGACATGCTTGACCAAGCTTTACTCCCAGGTCATGCAATCGTGTAGCATAAGAGATAAGTTATTATCTGCCAGCCTAGTCCCTACAGCATTGATGATGTCAGCTGTGTCCATGCTTTGCCCCATATGCCAGCTGGTTGACTCAATCACTATTTTTTTAAACTCAAAAGCATTGTTTTCACTGTGAATTTAAAGGACACAAATATCTACAATTTATAGTCTGGCATATGTTGCGGTGTCTCATCAGGTACATATGTCGACCTATAATAGAGCACAAAATGAATTCTATCAGCTGAAGTACACCAATCATATAGTCCACAATCCCATTATAAACTTTGTGCCATTCACATAATGTATCACACATACAACCAGCAAGTGTTGGACTACACTGAGGAGCCTCTCTATCTCTTTTATTGCTGACGTTTCCAATTGTTACAGTGTTTTTAAAATACTTTTTATCTTGTTATATGACAAAATAATTTTTCCAATTACTTATTCTCTTCATGTTATATGACAAAAGAATATTTCAGTAACTTCTCTTCTTGTTATATGACAAAAGAATTTTTCGATTACTTCTCTTCTTGTTACATGACAAAATAATTTTTTTATTACTTCTCTCTTTTTGTTATATGATAATAGAATTTTTCAAATACGTCTCTTCTTTTTTATATGACATTTATTTTCTTAAAATACTTCTTTTTAAATGACAAAATAATTTTTTAAATACTTCCTTTCTTATTATAAGACCAAAAATAGTTGACTGGAAAAATTGGATGTAGACAGTCAGTGTTTTAAAGGCATGTTAAGATACAGAATGGACCCCAGAACGTTGTAACAACTGGCAAGATTGATGGAAAGAGAGAAAGGGGAAGGTGAAGAGAAAAAACCTGAATATCGAAGCAATGTTTCCCCGTTGTAAATTTTAATAAAGAAGACACAAACAATAGATTGCACGATTTATTGCCTAGCAAGTTTAGCTATATCTCGTCATGTGCATACTACAGTAACAATTACATAAATGAAGCAGATAAGTGAATCCTTTATAATTGAAGTACAAATTCCACTACTATCAAACCCGACTGACTGTTTTTTCTACTGGTAAAACAGGCATTGTAAATAAATAGGGTGAGACAAGAACATTGGCCTGATCCACGATTCTTTTGATCATGTGAGGTGCTAAAACATGACAGTCTACACTTAACAGAACCGGATGATGATGATGTTGATACTGTTTTACTTTCATTAGCTTTTTCCAGACAATATTTGTGTGACTAACTAATAAAGGCAATTTCTGCAGTCAAACATTCATCTGTGTATTCACAAGTAGTCACATATTGTGCTAGTTAAAATTCTTTTATTATCACATCCTATTACATTGTTGCTGCTGTGAGATGTTTATGGCAGCATCTTATTAGATACACTCAGTTGAAAGTCTGTTTGTATGTATGTAAGTTGTACCCCACCATTACATCATACAAGTGATAAACACCCGTGACACAAAATGCCACCATGCAGATGAGGATCACCTGTGGAGAGGTCCCGGAAACCCTGTTCAACAATTAGGCCATATTTCAGGCCTGGCTATATTTAGGGTCCCAGGCAAAAGCCAGAGTGGGGCTTCAAAATAACTAAAAATTAAATCCCACAAGGGGATGACGAGATTATACCAGTTGAAAGTCTTAGCTGTTTATCTGTTTCTGTACTTTGGTCTTGTTCCAGGACTTGTGTCTCGCATTTGCATCCATTTTATGATCCAGCTTATTCTGTGCAGACTGTTGGTTCCTCACGTCTCTGGCAGATGCACATCCATGTCGAACAAAAAGTAAAGTAAAAGACCCTTTTCCACGCCATTAGGCTTGTTGGGCATATGGTGCTGGACCTGTATGTTATAGACCAATTGGCACTGTGTGGATGATTTAGTCAGCATCATGCCATCCGCCTTTACTACCCAGGAATTTACCCAATACCCATTTTAGGTTGGTCAACTGGGAGCCAAGGTCATTTTAAAAAAAAAAGTCCAGCTCGATGCAG